ATCTTCACGTCCAGAATGTAGTCCTATTCGCAACCTTCCTCGGGCTTGGGCTAGAAGCCCTGCAGAAAAGGGCTTCAGACCGCTTCGGGAGTGCCAAGCCTAAGCCCAGCAGCATCGTGACTCTGGAGCTGAAACCAGTCTTTCGCTGAAAAGGACAGGATATATCTTTCCAAGCCAGCCATGGCAACTGGGCAAAGGGACCGCACCTCTCACTCCCGATGATGCTTCTTTCAAACACACAGACGCACACAGACATGTATTCCCACATGAACCAACAAATCGCTCGGCTCGTTTCTTTCTGTGGCCAACTGCGACTCCGGAGATCTGCTAACCTCGGCATCTGCGGGGCTGGTTGCAACCAGTGGCCGGCGCACAAAACCATGACACCCGATGACGCATCGGTTGAGGCAAATGGCTTGCCAAGAAACAACCCGTGAGACTTGAGCCAAAAGCACAAAAGAGATTCTGTGCAATTCTCATCTCAAGCCGAGCCGCCCCTGGCTGCTACCACGTCTGGTTTTCAGGCTGGGCTGGCGACTAGAACAAGAGCTGCTGTCAAAGAAATACTGACAAGTTGGCCAGTCGACTTTATGAATTGCTTGGTGACTTTAAGGCACGGACTTGTTTCCTTGTACTCTGCACAAAATGCCCGGTGTCCGTATGCATAGGTGTCCTCTGATAGATTGATGAAACCAGTGCCTACGTCATCTCCTTCCTCCGTCTCAAGAAGCATCGCTTGTGTTGCATGTCGGTTGGAAACCTTGGGGAGGGCAATGGCGGAAACAACACATGGTTGATGAAGCCAACACAAATTTGGAGGAGGCTGGTGTGAAACATCGCGAAACCACAGCCAGCGGGTGCCCTTCGCAGTGCCTCTCAACTCGGAGAGCTGTCACACATGTTGGTCATGCCACGACCGATTCTGAATCTCGTGGTTCACCACACAGCCTTTTCCCGTCAAACACAGTGTATCATAAAATCTGGCTGTTTGGGAAACAACCAACAAGAACTGGTTCTTCCGGGCCCCATGTCCTGTTCATTACTTCTGGATGGGGGACATGCAATTGTTGCCGACGTGCCATCATCCAGCCCAAACACCAGGCAAGAATAACTATGCACAGGCGCCCCGCATGCAATCTCCGCACGCCCCGCGAAAGGCGTTGCTCGCTGTGGGGGCTCATTGGTCCCAGAGCGTGGACGGGATCCTCGTAAACCGAGGTCATTGGCTCTGAACCACTGCGCCCTCAGAACCAGTGCAAACTTCTCTCTACAACTCTCGGTCTGGTAGCAAAAACTGTGCTTTTTGCGGCCTCCCCCCCCAGCCAAGAATGAACCGAACCCAAAAATCAAGAAACCAAACCACTTGCCAAGAACAGTGCAGTTCTAGTCACATGGCCTTGCTCATTGGCTTCAAGTAGAGCTTCCAAATCCGTCGGAAGGCATGCCCTCGGCCCTCTGCTTGAGTTCGCTTGTATCTTAAGTGGGAAACATCTTTTCAGTCTTCCAAGAGACCATGCTCTTTGAGGTCCAAGCCTTCTATTGGCTATCCGATGTTTGATCGCGTTTGCATCCATTTGCCCCTTCAGCTGCGCATCGGGCGCTGCTCCAACTGAGACACTGCGGGCTGTCCGTCCACCGGGTTCCCAGCCTGGATCAACACTTTCCTATCCGAGCAAGCGCAAAAGAAAACGGGAAACAAAGCGAGGCCAATGATTTAGTCGGGAACTCCCCGGTAAGTTGAGTATGGGTGCTCTCGTTTACCTGTTGCTTTGTTTTGGATCCAGGCCCATTCGCTTGAAACGCGACCTCCGGTCTCAGAAGCGGCCCGCTGGGCCTGGCGTCGCTTGGGGGTTGTGCCGGCTGCCAGGCTTCATTGCCAAGTACTGGAAGGGGGGGGGGGCTGGTGTATCGCAGGGGATTGCCGTTTGTCTCGAAATAAGCGGACCCCAAGAAAGTTGGTGGTTGTCCTTTCGGTTGTCTTTGATGCCAAGCAAAAAGGCGCTATCCAAAAGAGACACCCAATTTACCTTTGCCACGGAGCACGATTGGAGTTGAACCCTGCGCCTTCAATACGCCGTCCTGGGGGCCAACCCGAACAAGGGATACCCTCAAACAGCACATATTCGTAGCCGACGCCTGCGAAAACAACTGCTGTTTGATGCCGTTCACGGCCCGCTGCTGGTTCGAACGAAGGCTTCTATTTACAAGTCGCATCGTGCAAGTCAACTTAAAGTGATCGCTTCTTGCGAGCCTAAGACTATCCCACATCAAACACGGAGAAAGCAACGAAATCATCAGACAGACTTGGGCATCGATATTCCCAAAAAAACTTAGAACTGGTTTTACCCCGAGTAAGCCACAAGGGATGGATATCGGGCAGTGGCCCAAGACTCAAGCTTGGACCAAACCGAGTCCGGAGCCACAAACACCTGCGAAGACACCACGACAACGCATGCTCCCAAAAGGTGAGCTTCCCAAAGAGGTCACAAGGCCTGGATTTCAATGCTGCCCATCTTCTGAACCTTCCAGCACATGCGCAGTATGGCTGTGGGTCAAAATTAAACCACCATGGGACCACAGGTTTAATCCATGTTTCCATAGGGTTCCCATTTTGGGTACATATTTTTGACCCACTGTATGGTTGTAGGTTCCTTGCAATTACGGACCGCAAGCACACGGCACCTTTGAACTTCAATGGGACACACTGGGACTTTGATCGCCTGGCATCCGGCCAGCGGTCTCCGCGTAGCGCACCACGCTGTCCCACCTCCGACTTGCTGGAATGCCGAGGGTGGTTTAGGACCCTTGTTGGTTGCTGTTGACCCCGCTGCAAAGAGTTTAACTTTTTAGGGGTTTGGTGAAAAACGCTTTGATTCCCCACAAAATTAAAGTCTAAAGATCCAACCCAGTAGCAGTCAAGCCTTTTGCATCATTTAGCTGGGGATGTATGTCCAACCACAGAGGGGGTGACCGATTCAAATTCATAGCCACTCTGTCCGGGGACGTGAAAGCAGCGATGACGATGGCTGACTTGAAACAAATGGCCCATGCAAACATGATGGTTCCGATTCATTTCCCCGTCAAATTCGACCAAAAGACACAGGTCCGTGGCTCCTGGCTTCTTTTCCAAGAACCTGGAGGTGTGGACATGAGGGGCTTAACCCTAGGGGTCCTTTTAGGGGAATTAGATGGATATCCCTGCTAGACGATTAAACCACCAGGTAAACCGATCGGAATCGAAACCCATCTATTTTTCAAACCAAACCAACCAAAAAAGGACACCTATGGCCTATGGCCTATGGGCTTAACCCTCTGCTTCCAGTGAAGCTGCCCCTCCCTAGTGCCACCGGCCAGTTGAAAGCTCTGGGCCGAGAGCCCGGCTGCTGCGGCAAGTGGCTTCGCGCCATGCGGCCCTGGGCCTGACGCTGGCTCCCTGGGCTTCCCCTTGAAACTTCACCAAGGGACACTCGGTGGCGAAATCTGCGAAGCCCTGGTAAAAGCTTGACTTTTAGCGGTTTAATACGGACACACAAACTTAGTTGGCAAAAAGTTGAAGCCCTAACATCCAAGCAACATGCACCGAGGGACACTCACCTAACGGAAACCATAGGTGCTTTCCCGTGACGGACCGGACATTTTGGGAATGGGCGACCCTCTTTGAAGCTATGGGTTGCACCTGGGCAAGAAACAAAACTTGGGCAAATGGACTTCACTTTTTTGGATCCATGCTCCGAATGCACCGCTGGAACCGTGTCCCTTTGATGCAGCTGCTGATTGGTGGATGCGAGTGTTCCTTTTTCTCGAGGATCTCCGGCAAGGAGGCTTCTCATCTCACAGCATAACAAGGCTACCATGAAATGTCATCCAGCCTTAGTTTGCCAGTTTAGAGAGAGAGAGAGAGAGTTTCCGCTCGTTTCAGGACTTCTCAGAGCTACAACTTGAAGCTGAACGCTCGCTCAGTGGGGCCCGAGAAGCGACGGACACGAGCTGCCAGACTGGGTCTCCGGCGGAGATGGGCAGCATGAGCTGGCGGTTCCCGTGCTCCACCAGGCTGAGGTACAAATCCTCCGCGAAATCAAAGGACCATGGCTAGGTCCTCCTGTAGAGAGGTTAGAATACGAGTACCAACCTTTTTCTGTAGTCCCTCCCCTAAAAAAGGAGAGAAAGGGCACTGCTGGACCTAGATGACTACTTTATCACTTTGGGGGGTTGCCTTGGTGCAAAACGTGGCCCCTAAACCTGCGTGCTCCACAACTATGTGCCACAAAGAATGACCCTGGAAAAAGGGATGTGTTGCTTAAAACCACCAAGGTCTCCGATGACAAAACTGCAACTATTGGAGTCGCCATACATTAAACCAAAAATCATCTCACCCAAAACGACACTCACCTCCAAGGCCATAGAGACCACTGTGTACCACCCCAGGCCCCAAACATACTCATCCCAGATTTGTGTTCCCAACGGGGCATGTTTTGGAAGCACGTGATCCACATGGCTACTGTGGATGGCAAAACCCACCAGGCATTGGACGAGACCCGAAAAAATTGAACGGGATGGGCCGTTGCAGGTCACCCAACAGCGACCCCAGTCTCCTCCCAGGGGAGTGGCACGAGTGTGATCCACATGCCACAAGCCGGGCTGGGTGTTTCCCATCGAAAACGCACCATCCGCATCCCATGTGAGCTTGCTGTCTGCATCCGAAGGTCGGGTGCGTCAAGGAATAAGTGAGCAAATTCCAAGGCCAAATAGAGGCATGATAGGTTCCCAGAGAAAAAAAACAAAAACACCTCGATCGACCACATCGGCCGAATCCGTCGGAATTTGAAGACACTCCCAGGGTTTCAGCTGAGTGCCCGGCACCGAAAGCCTTCTCTGGCTGCTTTAGGGGGCAAAAGGTTTGACCAGGACTTGGGAAAACGGATCTTGGGCTCGCAACGGCACCTTGGGGCAAATGTGTCTCAACCAGGCGACCGGCCGCCTCATTTTGCCAGCTGGCGTAAGCTCTCCGCGAGCCTCCAAGCCCGGCATTGACTAATTCAAGCAATGGGGGAAGATGTCAATTCGATTCTGGAGGGCCCAGAGTCCGTGTCGTCGCTGCTCTGGTACACGGCGCCTACGCAAAAAAAAGGGGCGGAGGCTGGCCAGGCTCTTCAGAGGGAGGGCCAGTTTGTTTGAGAACCATGACACTCTCACAAGAAAGAAGTGCCATTTGAGTTGAGCGACTCTATAAACCTCCCATGAATCCCTGTCGTATGAAGTTGCTTGCGCGCGAGCTTGCGCTTTCCTTGCGCGACCCATGTTTTAGCTTACGGTGCAGTCCGCGAGCATGTTGCTTACGCATCGCTTCCGCGTCGGCGATTTGAGCGTTTCCCCTCAAGAATTGCTTACGCGGGCTCCTTTTCTCATGCAGCCGCCAGAACTGTTCCAGATGATGTGGATGACTCTGAGGAAGAAGATGAGGAAGAGCTACCCTCGCGAGTTTCAGCGGCTTGGCGTTGTTGTTCTTACTGCAAGTCAAGAAACATGCTCTGCGGTAGCGACATCCATCGCGAGGGCTAGAGGGCAGCCGAGCTAGGCGAGCTTACGCGAACCGTACGCGCCTGCTCACGCGAGCTTACGCGCCCGAGCCCCTTTACTCTTCCTAAATCATCGATTACAGAAGCAAGCCTTTGTTTGTTCTAGTAAAGGTTGCAAGAGCACCTAGCATGAGCCCCAAGAGCTCTCAAACAAAGCTCTGCTCGTGTTGTTGCCTAATCGTGCGCACCTACGGTCTTAGACGTCTTCCTGCAAATGGTCGTTGGTTTGCAAGGGACGGCCAAACGATAAACCTCCCATTTGGCAGCTCCCCCTGATTCAGGCCCGAACACAATGGCTATGATTTGTGTGAGGGTACGTGAGACGCAACGCGCTACAAAATCTTGTTACGGAGGGTAGCGGGTCCTTCTTACGCAGGTGCGCAACGAGAAAACATTGCTTGACAAGCATCAGTAGCAAAATTATAGGGGTACCTTTCCCATTTTTTCCAGGGATCCTTCTTCCTGGAAAACCTCCAAAACCCAGGGAAAACGGCTGGTTATTGAAAAGAAGGTTGGTGGAAGCAACCCCTAGAACAATGTAGCGCGCAACAACAAAGAGCCGCAGCTTCAGCTCGAAAGTCGCAACTGCTCAGTTCAGGTGTAGTACGCCAATCACACCTCCGCAGCTCCCGCTTGAAGTTTGCAACTGCTCAACGCAAGCCAAACGATGGCAAAAGGGGATCGCTGGCTGGGCTGGGGTTGTGCGCGCAACGAGGCATGTAACGGCAGTGTGACGAGGTGTGTAACGTGGCGTAGCAAAGTGGAGTATGCAAAGCGCACCTCCGCAGCTCCAGCTTGACATTCGCAAGCAGTTGGCTACGTAACGAGGCATGTAACAAGGCAAAGCAAAGCGGAGTACGCGAAGCGCACCTTCGCAGCTCCAGCTTGACATTCGCAAGCAGTTGGCTACGTAACGAGGCATGTAACAAGGCAAAGCAAAGCGGAGTACGCGAAGCGCACCTTCGCAGCTCCAGCTTAAAATTCCCACCACTACTCAACGCAAGCCAAGCGACAGCAAAAAGGGGCTGGGCTGGCGGTTGGGTCTGTAACGAGGTGAAGCACTGTTGTTTTCTTCCAACATTGCTTCTGAACTCTGGAAGTTGACTCTTAAAGCATGCTCTGCAAAAGTCTGCTCTGCTGGCACCCATGAGGAACGGTTGATCACTAAAAGTCTGAGCATGCAACAGGGCATGAAACGAGGGGCACGCAACCAGCCGGGCTGTTGTGTTCATGTCAATGTGAGGTGTGCAACGAAGCTATGCAACAAGGGGTATGTACCGAGCCAGCAGGTCTTGCTACACAGGTCTGTAAAAAGATCTGCAACGAATGTCAGCCACAGCTCGGTTACAGACCCCTCAAAACAAATCACTGCAAAACGGGGTTGTCTCAAACTTAAACAGGAACCCTTCATACCGTTGGCTTCCTTTTGCTGTCCGTTACAAGCCGACCAAATTGGTGGTTTGGATTGGCGGCTTGGAGGATAGTGATCACCCCCTACAAGAACCAGGGGTTCAAATCCCACAAACCACCCATCCAAACCACCAATTGAGAACTTTCTGAAGGGCGGTCCCCGAAAAACGAAAAATCCACGCGCCGTGAAAGGCGCCCAATGCGACGCCTCCCAAGCCCCCCGCCTTCGCGGCACATGCTGCGGGATCGGCGCCGGAAGAAAAACATCGAGGCCAGCCAGCCGAGGGCCGCGCATGCCAGGCCAGTCAGGATGAAGGACCACAGCGGCATGCCGCCTGGAAAGGTTCGCCGGGTTTCTCTCTTGCCAAAAAATCGCAAAAAAAGCAACAACATGGAAAGTGGTTTCTCGTGGTGTGCTGCGACTTGCCCAAAAGACCTGGGGAAAAAAACGGGTGAACCGAGGGCGTTTCCAAGCACTGATGGAGTGAAGCGACAGTCCAAAACCCTTTCCTGCAGGGTGGAAGGGTCCATTTGTTTCAGGGTATGATGTCAACCCCTTACTAAAAACGGGCGCCGAAAGATAATACAAGTCGTTTCGCAGTGGACCGTTGGAGCCATGATCGAGCACTTGGACACAAGAATGACCCCTGATCCCTAGAACAATCACCCCCTGCCCTACTCCAAGTATCCTCTTTTTGTTGAGAGTAGTCCTTTCGAAATTCCCCCCCCACTCGACTCCAAATAGCCTTTTTTCAAGGGCATTTGTTTTCAACCTGGCTTTCCAGGGTAAGTACCGATGCGGCGTCCTTATGCTATCGGTCCACCGGACCGGCAAAACAGGCATGTCAGGGTGGCTTCGCTTTGGGCCAGAAAGCCAGTCAATTCTATTGCAGCCGGCGACTTCTCTTTTGGCAGTTTCTCAAGGGAAAGAGGAAAACACCCAAAGGGGATTTAACAAGGCTCGAGGCTCTGTCCATTTCTCGCTTCCTGAGTGGATTGGCCAAGAACAATCCAAGCTTGTTGGTTTGCCACTAAGATGGGTATGTGTCAAGATAGGGATTTGTACCCCCAGCAAATGCCGGTTTTCCTTGTGCTTAACCTGAAAAAGGGGCGCCAACTCGAAAAAAACTAGTCCTCCTGGAACACACCAAGATCCCTTCGCGAGATGCCTCGAGCAGGTGGCGCGGGGGAACACATGGGCGGCCCTGGAATGGAGGTCGGCAGCTGACCTCGGGCCGGAACACACGCTACAGAGCTCTCTACAGTTCCCTTTGGTTTGAGAAACCCCAGGTTCATTCATCCTGGCCAACTGACGCAGCATGCCTCCAACATTGTTCTCTCAAACAACTCACGCCTTGTGTGCCACAGAAAGGTCGCAAGGGTTGCATAAGCCTGACGCTGATCCCCTTAAAACCAGCTAGAACCACCCATGGAAATGACCAATCCTATGTTGATCGTTGCTCAAGTTGCGAAATGTTGCAAACCGGGCCGCTGGGATCAAGGGACTTCAACAAGCCAATGCTCCTGTCACATGTTGGTGCTGCGAATTACTCTACCAGTTCTCCGACCTACAGCCTTGCCTCGTTGTTTTTCCGCTTTGCTCTGACCTACTATGCACATCTATGCGTCACCTGTTTATTTTATCCACTTGTCGCTCCTTCTTCTTTCACATGTGTGCACCGTTTAGAACGCGGATGACAGATCCATGTTTCTCCTATAGATGACCTCTTTTCATCTGAGGCTGCTAGATCCTCATAGGCACCGGCCATACTTATGCCTTCACGGAGAAAGATGGCGCAAAGCCCAGTCCCTTTGCAGTTTCATCAACCCTGCACCCGAGAAATCCCCACTGAGAAAAGGCAGGCTCCCTTTACCAGGGGTAATTACGCCCCGCCTCTCCGTAGGTGAAGCGGTTTCAAGATAATGGAGTGGGAGGGTGCTCTTAATCACCTCATGATCAAAGGACAACTACTCAACATGCAATTAACTCCGTTGTACAGGGAAACCAATATGTTCTCCTTACGCATAACCCCTACAAAGGGAAGTTTGAAACATGCGATTTTGAAAGACCACAAGACATATGGGTTCCATGTTCTCCAAACTCTGGGTTGAGGGTTGGAGGGTTGGCTGCGATGTGCTGGGACGTTGGGGGGCCAAATAAAATAACCGTTTGGGGGTCCATAGACAGGGAAGCCCTATTCTATTCCTCCATTTGCTGGAGTCCCCTGGAAAATGTACAAATATGTCCAGTGATAGACTCCCTTTAAAACCAGCAGGGGACATAAACAAACATACCGTGGATGGACAAAATCCTGCACCAGTTTGAAACCATGGTTGAAAGCATTGTTTGTTGCTATTTACAGGGGAACCATCAGAAACCAGGGATTCTCAGGTGGTGCGAAATGGATTTCGCAACCATCCACAGCATTATTCACCCAGCGGGAGCCTTGGGCTTGCGCCTCCCCAAGGAAAATCTCGTCCCGTTTGTTCCAAGTCCCCAAGCTCAAAGGATAGTCGAAGCCCATGACGGCCTTGCCCTGGTCGTTGAGCACGTGCTCGATTCCTCAAACCCGGAAACCCACTCCGGGAAGTTCCCGGGGAAAAAACAAAACGGAGAAGGAACAATTGAAAATCACCACACTTTCAGGCTGACAAAGCCAAATGGATTTGTTGGGCCCAGGGTGGGGATGCCAAGTTCTGTTTGCAATTGAATCAGCTCCTGTTTTTTTTTTTTAGACATGGAAACTCTAGATGGACCCGCTGTATGTTGGTTATTTGCCGGTTCGCGGCATGCGCAGCCGCATTGTCGGTTTGCCGTTGAAGAATGTTTGTGGAAGAATCATGTAACGCAGTATCATATTTCCGATCAGGCTTTGGTGTCCCTTCCCATTCTTGTCCAGACCCACTATGGCAAGTAAACCAACATGAATGCAAAATGGACCAAGCACAACTTCCCCCAGAAGGAGATTCCTCTGAACTCGATGGCGTTGGGGGATTTCCATGTTGATCTGAGGATTTCACCCTATTTTCGTTCAGTCCTGGCTCGCCGTTCAGGAAGCGGGTGAAGGCGTTCGTGAAGCGAACCTTCGCGATGCGCCCCAGTGAAACGACATGCTCTCAAAACAGGGGAACCACCAACTAAGTGGTGCCGTCTTCATGTCCATTCAGTCCAACCAGAACTCACTGAATCAATGGTTGGTAGCATTGCACCATGTCGGATTTAGTCAGTTCCAACAAACATCGCAGTCAAGGGGTGACAACAGCAGAAGAAGAAGAAGAAGCAGAAACTGAAGCAAGAACAAGCCATCGCTTCCCTGAGCGCACCGGAGGTCAAATAGATGCGAATCACGAATGCCGAATCCATCATGAAGGGATACCAGTCGGTGGACCAAGCAAACAAAGCACAGTACCGGGTTCCCTGTCCCAGTTTCAATGGGGAGTGGATGTCGTCCTTCGAGTCAAGGGCTTCCAAGTCATTTCGAGGTGCTTCACGCCAGTGCCGCCAATTTGTTGACCCCTCCTGCTTTCTGAAGGAAATCAACAGGAAACCGGGCAAACAAAACACACCTTTAGAGGTCCGATTCCAATTTCAGGACACATGCTTGGGTTGAGACTATGGCAACCTGAAGGCCATGGCTGCTCAAGGGCTCAACTCGACAATATTGTGAAGTGAACAAATGATGGATGATGATGTTGACCTAGGTGGTTCTAGACTGAAATCCAATATTTGATCCAGCTTACCACGCTCAATCGCCGATAAGCCACGAACCGCCCAACCGCCATACGTAGCACCAGGCAACGTTCGGAGCAACCTTGCCACACCTTTGAGGAATTCAACAAGGAGGGCCAGGGTTGAACAGCGGGCGGCAAACTCAAAGGCCAAAAAATTGTGTTGCCTCCTGAGTCCACCTACGGTGCTGCAGCAGCCCCACCCCCCACCCCTCCCCTCCCCTCCCCTCCCCTCCCCTCCCCTCCCCCCCTCCCCACCCCTCCCCACCCCTCCCCACCCCTCCCCACCCAGCCCCCAGCCCCCCATCCTGGCCGAAGACACCCCGTCGGTACTGGGCGCCACAAAGCCACTGGGCACAATCACCTCGAAGTCCCGGAAGTAGCTGTACACGCCTCGAATCCCTAGGTGCCCAAAGCCCACGGATTTTTGGTTGCCTGAAACCCACGCGAACTGTAGGTGCCCAAAATCCACGGGACTTGTTTGGGTACCAAGATACACAGGGTGATTTGTTGGGTGCCAAGATGGGTTTCTCGGGTGATAAAGGTTGTTTATGGGACCAAGATGGTGATAAAGGCTTGTACGGGTACACTATAAACACCATAAGACCAGGTAGAGCCACCTAAAAAATGGCCAACAGGGGGTTTGGGTGCTCACATGTCCATTAAGGTTTAATCCCTTCCCCCCTTCGAAGAAGAAATATGAGAGTTCAGAGTTATTTGCAGCTTATTTACAGGGAATTTAACATGTGTTTATGCTATCGGTAAGGGGTACGTGCAAGGGGGGTTACAACATATATATTGTACATACACGAGCCAAATAAGCATGTTCGCGGGGGTGGAACAACGTATGGGAATAGGGTAGTTTTGGGGCCTTAACATGGTTAGTATTTGCTGGTTGGTATTGTTGTGGTTCTAGATTAATTCGACTGGAGTCGGGGTCGAGGAAAACTTGCTGGTTTAGAATTGGCTTAGTATTGGCTGATTCTAATGAGTGTTGGGAAACTTGGGGTCTGGCAATTCATGTGAGTCACAATCAACAAATGGAATTTACATCATGCTTTGCTAACAAAAAAACTGCTGCACCTAAATCCGCACTACCTGAGCTTCGATTGTGGCTCATGTTTGACTGAACCTCTGTCGCGAGCATGGTGGCGGCAAATCCCCTTTGATACCAAAGGAGGGCATGTCCATGACAACCTTGTCACTTCACAGGGGTTTTGCTGGGATCGCAGAAATTGATCCCAAAATCCCAAGTTGTCCACAACCATAAACGCCCAGCCCAACAGTCCCTATGTTTCCCGCACATCACCGCACTCAAAGTTAGTAAGCGGTTGGTAACCTAGTACCACGCTTACACGCCCCCTCTTAAAATTGCCCTGCTAGTTTACAATCCAGGTGGCTAACATCTTACTTGGCGATACGAAAGATGCAAGCAAGAGGTTGATGACCATTCCTAGCAGTGGATCCACTTACCTGTCTAGGTAACCAAGGCAACCGGACTTAAAAACCCGGAAACATGGCTGGTTCTGATGGCAACTGGGATCCACGGGTCTCAAAGCAAATCGTTGAAACCGAAGCCAGGTAACGAGAGACCAAAAAGCCAAACCGAAGACAGGCTTGCCAGTACCTCCAATTTAAACGGCTTGCCAGTCCCAAACTGAAGGAACCCGCAATTTTGGGGCTAGGCATCGATTTGAAGGGATTCCCGGCCGAGCGGCCCACGCCCTGGGCGTCGTGGCTCTTCACGTTGCTGGTCACTTTGTAGCCCGCGAAGCCCCGGTCCCCGTAGTCCTGGGTCATCGGGGGCCGGGGTTGAGACCCTCAGCTGTTGGAAAATCAGGGAACCCTTTTTGGGGAAGACCATTCTTAGTGGGGCAGCCAAGACAACGGGAAAAAGGGTGCCACTGAACAACTGAGGACCCCGACCTGGGCTGAACCGGCGTTTGTTCAGCCCGGGTCGGCCGAAAGGAACAGAGGTCAGACTTTTTGTTTGCGTCTCGCAAGAAGAGGTGTGCTTGTTCCATTGTTTGCAGCTAGGCGGCATCATGAAATTTAACAACAGGTTTGGGGTTGGACAAACAGTTTGGTAAGCCCAGTTGTGCAGAAAATAACTCAAAGCATCTCCTGCTGGGTTGACCACTCTGAATGGAGCAGCCACCAAGAAAAAAGGGGAACAGGGTGGCACTCAACCACTGTGGCCTGCCCTTGGCTGGGTCCACCGTATGGGAACCGTTGACCTGAACCGAAAACAATATTTCATCAAATTAAGGGTTAGAACACCAACGGCGAATAGGAAACAGGTTGTGCCTGACAAGCGAAGAACTTTGGCTCCTGCTAGGGCAGAAACAGAACATCATCCTCAAACACCGGATCCAATTTCCCAAACTAGAGTTAGTGACCCTGCTAAGCCCATCCCTGCCATGGACAAATGCCAGTTCCGCCTAGCTGTGGAAGCTCCGTAGCGTGCGTCTAGTTGCAGCCTTGGATCTTGTCCACCTTGAATGGGTTGAAGGAGAGCATTCAATTGGTGGATTTCGGGCCAGGACCTCGTTTGGTCCGATGAGCAATCCATCCATACACAGCATGCACATCCGAGCATCAATAAATATGCCCTTAGCGTTCAAACTCGAGAACACAACGTGGGGGGCGGAACGGGAAAATGCTACACGCGCGAAGCAGCAGTTTGGAATCCAAGCGTGTAGCCGCCACTCAGGCAAGTCTGCGACATTGACGTGTGTAGCGCAGGCTTGAAACAGGGATACTTGACATGCCCTTGAGAACATGAAGACGGAAGCGAGTGCAGTGGTAGCCCAACCACTTTACTCCTTAATCAGCAGGAAACCATCACGTGTGCCAAAAGTTCAGGGGTGTGCAGTCTCCAAAGTCCTGTCAACCAAAACTCGGGGCGCACAACACGCCATGTCCTGGTTCACGTCGTACGGAAGCTCGTTCTGGTAGAAGTAGACTCTTCCGCCGTCGCCTTCCCTCGGAGAGCACCCCCCCAGGGCTCATCTGCACAATTTATCCCCATTACCTACCAAATGTGTTTGCTTCGTCTCTACGTTTTAGTTCCTGCACTGGACGTTTTGTGCGAATCAGCCTCACTACAAAATGCCGCAATGACCCTAGCTCATCCCTTCAAATGGCTGAGACAAAACAAGACACGAATTCCACTCTAAGATGCCTGGCCTGGCCTCCATGCACCTGCGAGGTGGGGGATTTTCAACAAGGAACTTGCAAATCAGCAGAAAATAAAACCACTGGATCACCAGGTTACTCCGTATTCGGAGTGCCCTCAAAGTTGCATGGCGTTTGTCCCAGGTTCAGGCAATCTAGTCGCCCGACAAATGGAAGTCCGCGGTGTCACAGCTGCCTTTGTCCAGCAGAGCCGAAATGATATCCAGGACATTTAGAGAGCCCTTTTCTTGGTCTTGGACATTTAGAGAGCCCTTTTCTTCCATTTGCTTACGCCACCCCCCCCCCCCCGGGCCGGGGGGGGGGGGGTTCCAGTAGTGATAGATTCTGATTAAAGCCAACAAGGGGAAGTAACAGCTCTTCTTAATGGAAGCTATTGGATAGACCGGACGTCACCGAAGAACTGAAGAACTGCACATGGGGGTGAACCACCGAGCCAGTCCCTTGTCCCCGAAACGAGCTAAGTTGCAACCAGGCACACGGCATCCGCCCGCCCAGCAAGACTAGTCAAGTCCCCTTTCGGTGAGCAGGGGCAGGGTGGTAAACCTGGACCTGGCAACCATGCCACTCTCAAAGGCTTGGGTTGCAGGAGATTCATAGGAGATTCTACAGGAAACACACTTATTTGCGGTGTTTTGGGGCATTGTTCTGTAACCAAACCCTTTGAGTCACTACTCAACTACCGCAGAATCCAACGCATAGCCCCCCCTCGCGACGGTCTAAAACGTCGCGCCCTTCAGCCGAGGCTCCACAAGGTGTTGTCCTGAGTAAAGTGCTCCACCGCCAGCCTCGGACCCAGCCCAGTCCGCTCCTTTTGGGGCGAGGTCCTCCAGTAGAGAGGCTAGAATAAGGGCACTCTCTTTTTCTGTCGTCTGTTTTAGTAGGGGAACCCTCCTCCAAAAAAGTGCAAAAGGGCACTACTAGGGGACCTAGGCTCAGTAGGGAATGAGGGTATGAACCCAGGGGTTCCCTTAAAGGAGACCACAAGGGCAAAACCCAGTAGAGATCCCTTCACGAATCTGTTCTGGAAACCGTAGGGGCAGCAAAGGTCTGACAATGATTGCTATCAACCAACTCAGTGATGGAGTCATGGAATACCCGGACCATGGCGAAGTGGGAATATGCCGAAGTTGGGAGACCGCTTTGCATTGGCAATGGCTTCCCTTTCGACCAACGCGTTGAACTCATTTGCAAGTCCTCCGAAGAAGGATCCACTTTCTTGTGACGCATTTCAGCATGCCCATTCCACTCCGGGACTCAAGCGCTTCGGTCTCATGGCGGGCATTTGTCGAGGGGGGGGGGAATTCGGCGACCCGACCCAGGTGCCTTTGACAGAAAACCCAGGAGGTTGTTTGTGCAATAGAGGGTTGATCGTGCTCAAGCCGGGGGTTGGCCCAACCGTAACATCGACAAACATATTCGCAATTGCCTTGTGGAACTGCATGAGTCCTTCCCTTTCTCTACAAGCTTCCCATCAGATGGGCATGCGATACCCGAAACTGTTAATCTAAGGCCACTTCGCCAAAGAGATCTTTCGCTGCAAGAGGAGAATGCACAAATTTGAAGCACAAATCGCCCGATCGAAAGCAGCACACGCCGCCATGGTTGAGGTCATTCATGATTTCGCTCCCTGGTCCTCTCCGAATTTGGGGTTGCCATTGATTGAAAGAAGGAAGCAAGCAAGGTCTGCCTTAGCAAACTCAAGCATGCAGCAAAGACATCTTATGTGTCCAAAGGACCCACGAATGAAAAAGATCAACCGCTTGTAGCCACGATACACCAAAGCGAGATGAACGCAGCAACACTCTTTTTGAGAGGAATCTCCGGGGTACCGGAAGACAACTTTCCTCAGAAAGAGGACCCCTTCTGCGGGTTCAATAGCAACGTGGACAAGGGGCACTCCATCGCCAAACTTGGAACCCCAAAAACGGCATTCCCTCAAAAGGATATGTCGTTCTCGCCGTCTCTTTTTGAGGATACCTTGTTTTTGGTTGGCTTCAAGGGAGACCCCGAAGCCCGCCCTTTCACCCTTGGCTCCGCTATGGGCTGTCGGGTTCCTCAAGGCCAAAAGCTCGACCATTCCCGATTCCCGAGGCGGGCACCCGTACATGGTCACGAAATCCCCGAGCACATGCAGTCCCACCTGTCTGCCCCTTCAAACAAATGGAACTCGAACAGGGAGATTTCCCAAAAGGAAAAGGGTGACTAGACTTCCCACGCCCCGTCAACTTCCATGACTGGAGGGAGGGTAGTGCACATCAAAATCGGCATTTTGAGGAAATTTGCACATCGAGTTGGCCCAGTTGATCTACTTGGATCCTCAGGCTTTCTGGCTCATTTTTAGAGTGGGCTGTAAGTCGTTTGGCCCAAGGAAGTCGAAGCCTCGTGTGTACTGTTAACATGATCTCGGGCACACATCGAACCAGCTACGGGTAATTTACGTGGGCACTGACAGTCGTCAATCAAGGTAGGTCTGGGTCATATGCGGATACATCGAGCTTTTGAGCATTCGTTGATTGGACCGTGTATCACGGTAATGGTGCTTTTCTTGCGATCACAGGTAGACCAAAAGGAAACCAACAAATTCAGGGTTCCCAATTTTTGGTTGGGATGGGCCTGTTATGCTGGTATTATACTGGTGACAAGAAAATACGTCTTCGATGATAGAGCGTCAGGTGCCTCCGTGTGTGTGTGTGTGTGTGTGTGTGTGTTTGCAAGCAGGCAATGAAACTACTCTCTGGCCGAAGCAGACACCCCTTCATTGCGGCTTGGATGAGAAACCCCTTCCTTTCAAATCTATCTGAAGCACATTGCAGCCCCGGGCTTCTGAACCCAAAGAGGGCGGAGCTTTCCATGGCCAAGCTAGAGCCAAGACAGAAGCTGACTCACAAAGGCCTTAGAACCAGAATAATACACCGGCAGCATAAGGACATGTGTCAAACAGAAGGTGGCAAATCTTGTATTGCATGCCTTGAAAGGACAACGATTTCAAAGGGCCGGGATCTCTGCATCATCCTCTCTTTGTTCACCTGTTTTTGGCTAGTTCTGCTGAGTTTCACCCTCTTCTGACGTACGTTTGAACCAGGGCTGGGTGAATACCCCATCACACCAGCTGGATCAGATCTGCTTCGCTTCGCTGCCGGGATCAACTCCGGGCCTTGCCCGGGTAATCACCGAGCACCGTCAAGTAGTACTCGCTGGCCTTGGGGACCTAAGCGGATGAAAGATCCAAGCCTAGGATTCTCCAGTTCGCCCGAAGACCCCACCCCCCACCCCCCTAAACAGGTTTAGCCATGCACAAGGACGTGAACACTGGAGGTTCTTAACTCTCTCGAACGTGGGGTTCCAATAAGTGAGTTCTAGCAAATGGGCTGAAACAAGCGTGTTTCAGAAACCAGCTCTTTTCCGTTTGGTTTTCCATTGATGGTTACCATGGTTACCTCTACCTAAGATTGACCAACCTCGGAAAACCAGAAGGTCAAAAGGTCGGCTTTGAGCAAGCGAGATACATGAAATTGGTAAATGAAATTGGTAAATGAGATTTCTGACGGGGGGGGTACCCCCTAGGCTTCATTTAAGGGTGGGGCCAGTGAGATACAGCTAAAACTCAGTTCCCCAAAGGACTTGAAACTAAAAGCTTAACCTTTTGGGGCCATGACTAAATATGTACCAAAATGGGAAAACCAAAAGGTCAACAGGTCGGCTGTGAACAACTGAGAAGAGGCAGGAGATAGCTTCGCCCCTCCAGCTCCGCCAGGCTGCGCGACGGTCCATGGGCAGCGCCTTGTTCCGCGGGTCCGGCTGCGTGCCTCGCCCGTTCGTTCGCCCGTAAGCGAAGCGAAGCGGTTCGCAGCTGATCACAGCGGATCACAGGGATCCGCTGTTCTGGGCTTTACTGTGGATGCACTGTGAAATGGTTGAAACCTTTGCTTGTGGGTTACAGAAAAATCCTACTTCCAGGTGCAGGATTTCGCCCGTCCACAGTAGGCACTGGTAACCAGGAACACCAGCACCTTGAAGCAACCCAAGGGAAATGGCATGTTACTTATAGCCCACAGGCTCCACTCCCTTTGGTAACCCCCCCCCCCGAAAAGAAGCATAAGAATGAGAACCAAGTTCAAACAAATGCCGTGGTAAGCATGCACAAAACCCCTACGCCACGCCATACCGGCCCTAGAGAAATGGAAGCAACTCTGCCGGTGCTGGTTCAACCAGCTTAAATGCGATGCTTTTTGTGTCCATAGTGAACGCCAACAACAAACAAAATGCTAAATGCTTCCCTAACGGGCATGAACGGGGGATTCAGAAATGGCGGTTCCCAAACGTGTGACTTGTCGGCCTAAAACACTGATCTGTGACCAAGAAGACACCACCAATGGTCCGTCCAAATGGTAACCAAGACAGGTGGGTTCACTGGACATGCATGGTGAATATCAAAATGGATAGCACGTTGTGGTTCCGTGTAATTACCAGCCTTAAGGCATTTTCACAGCTACAGCAATCGACGCGACCGCATCCTTCATCACAGGATCATTGTGATCCCCCCCCAAAAGGTCCCCCCCAAATACAAAGTGCTCTTTGCTCAAATGGGGCCAAAAAAGCGTTATTTAAGCTCTTTTTGGTTCATGCCTGGACACTGCTCAAATAGTGCTTAAAAAGCTAGTTTTGCTACTTATTTGCTTTGGTGGCTGATTGACGTGAATGTTGATACTGCCACTTGCTGTTCAAGGTCTTTTAGTTGCACGCAATGGCAAGTTGGGATGATGACCCATCGGTGGCGGTGACTGTGCTGTCAGGGACACAGGTTGGAGACTTCAGGTGCTTCGCCATCAAGGATGAGTGCGTGATTGATGTGGCCTTTCCTCTGGGTGAGGAGGTGCAGTGTTGCTGGTCGCTGAAAGGGGTCACCTCAATGCTGTTCGCTTCTCAGAAAAGAAACACTCTGTATTCGCGTTTCAAGAAGTTGCTGCCGGAGATTCATGATACTCACCGTGCCATTTGGCCAGGTGTACCACCTCCTTCATTGGTCAAAATTGATTTGGACAAACGAAGAGAAACTGCGTGGCTTCCCACTTCAATGGTCATTGCTTCCCTGGCCCATGTGGTTTCCATGACAAAGAGAACGCCCGAAATGAGGCTCATAGCACACGAAGCTCTACGCAAACTGTTGGACACGCTTGTTGCTGGGGAACATGGCCTGTCACTGGATGTGTTGCATATTTATTGCGACGGGACTGCGAGGCAAGTCAATACGCGGCTGGCGCAAAGCGCATGTTCGTCAAGCTTGTGGGAGCCAGGCTTTTTTACCCACCGCATCCAAACCGCCTGGGCATTCGATGCCAACGCTGTAGGCAAGCCTTGGGTGACTTCACCGGCAGCGCTTCCACATGTTGCTGATTGGATATCCTTTTGCCTGGACCGATCAGCAAACCAGAGGTTGCAGCGTGATTTGTTTGAAGCAAAAACCCTGTACTTGAGCAGTGCGTTTCAGGTTCTGAGTCAGGTTGCCTATGAGTTGAATGCAAGAGCCCACCAGATTTCAGCACCTTTGACGGTGCCTCGCGTAAAGCTGCAGAAATGGCTCTCATATAGACACTGGATGCTTACTGGCCAAGCTGCCAACCACTTGCAAAGCGGAGCCGAAACTTGTCAAAATTGATGTTACACTCATTGGTGCCCTTTTCAACGAAACTGTTGGTGAGACAGGATCGCATTTTATGGAAGATTGTCTGTGATTCATTCGCCTCTGAAACTTGCCGCTTCCACCGTCGAATTGCCGGGCATTACATTTCTATTTTTGTGGGAACAATGGGGCTACTTTATTAAGTATCCCGTTACTCCTCGCCTTGCATCCAACAACGAAGGAAAGATGGTGGTCAAGCGCTCTACGCCGGGCGGGGGTGATGTCGGAGCACCTCAGGGTCACCAACACGTGCTGGCGGTACTGCGCGCCCTTGGCTGCACAACGTCGTTGACATGAGTGAATGAAACCAGTCTCTGACATGACGTGCTCCCTGGGTTTATGCTGAGCTTCAAGTACCCATTCAATCATTCGTTCATGTCACTCACCCGGTGGCACTACTCAGCTGAGATGGCTTACCTGGCGCGGGCGCGCTGTGAGTTGGCTCCCCAGAACCACTTCCAGGCCAGGCATTTGGACTAAGACAGAATAATTGAGTCGAATTGAGTTGCGCCCTTCGTCAAAAGCAAAGCCATCCATCAATGGTTTCACACAGTTGTGGCCTGGTTAATTATGTCAGCCACTACCGATAGGCATCTGAACTTCAGCAATGTGAGTTGTCAAGAAAGAGGAGACCGGACGTGCACATATTATAAGTAACAAGTATCATGGCGCTTCCCCAGACAAGGACAAGTCGCCATGCTTTGCCAAGTCTTTCTGACCCCGGAGGTCCAATTTGACGGCTCCGACTGCCAGGGAGTTCCAACAGAACTCCTGCTGGTGCATGCACCATTCATCGAGCTGTCCGTGTACGGACCACCCGTGGCCACTGACTCAGTGAGAAGTTTGACGGCCAGCCTAGACCAATTTAATAACAATGAAATAATGAAGTGTTTGTCCCACTATTCTTATTCAACTATGGGCCCAAAGTCCACCCCCGACAAATGAATGTCATTGCACTTCCAGCATTGGTCCATGTCTGCCAGGGTCCCATTGAATTGCCAATCCAAACAATGTCACGCTGACGGTTGCCAAGTTGTTGCTCAAACTCTAATTTTGCGCCGAACCAGACCCGACTTGCAGTGAATGCTCAAATTTACGGGAGAGGTCCATCATTCTACAGCCACTTGAAATTGAATTGCATTCTTTAGGGCGTGACGATACACTTATATATACAAGAGAACAAGCTATGATGTTCAACATCCCTTGCTTCAATGATTCAAGCCCGGCCGCTGCACGCAATGGCGGGAGCGAGCGAAGGCCATTCGGATGTGACAACCCGGGTGACAAAATCAGGCATGGCGTCGGATGACGAGTCAGGCGCTGACGATTGCCCCGCCTCGCAAGCGTCGTCGGCGATCAGCGCTTCGCCTTTCGAGGCTGCGTGGCTGACATTTCGCCTTCCGAGGTTCTGTCTTAGTCACGCTTTGGGGGAAGCATACTTTTTTGTCAGCTTCCAAGCTCAAGTCAAAGGAACTAAATCAAGAAAACCTTGATACTTGATGATACTACTGGCTAAGGATATGGAGAGTACCCCTCCGCTTCTTCTAGCGGCTCGATGCTTCAGAATGTCATGGGCGGTGCTTCGCAAACAAATTCCAGCGCATCTTTTGCAGGCAGACTGCGGGGTGTCAAGATAAGGTTCGTCAGTTGTGTTTCAATTTGAGTTAAGCAGCCTGCCTGCTTCAACATTCAATGACAATGACGATCGCAACTGAAGAGCCTCCAAGCCAACAATTCAATGAATTATTTGACGACTCACAGGTTTCATGTTGTTTTTGAATCCACACTCATTGACAGCATAGCCGCTTTTTCAATCAGTCAGCCCCTCACTATTATGAAAACTGTTGGTCAGTCACTGTCACTCCCACCAGCATCCTGGCTCAGGCCTCCATGCTGCAAACCGCGAGCACCATCAGCTCAGCCTGCACGGGGGTCTACACGGTCGAGTGTGCTGCTGCTCTCATAGAGAAAACGGTCAATGAAACCGACAACCTCCGCCAGCCAGTTTATCTACAGAGTGTGAGGTGCTGGGAACCTTGTCACATCACAACAAGTGTCAACGCCTCTTATTTTAGAATGTTGGCATTGCTGATAAAGCGCAAACCAGTTATTTCTGCAATGGACTGATTTACTGACTCAGCGACACTGAGTCACATACTTCAAACAAGCCCCCGTAATCTTAGACATTGGACCTTGAGTTTTTGAATTTTATTCCAAAGGCTGTGCATCGCTCGCCTTAGTCTCTTTAAAATTTAACTGGCAGACCAAAATAAAGCGATTCTCGTTGCAAGGGATTTGGCTCTGGTTGATACCAACCAAGTTTCAACTGCGCAGCTGAGGAGATCAATGAACACTGTCGCCAAGCCATCGTGGACAACCACCGCTGGGTGAACACGTGGTCGGGCAAGCTTTGGTTGCCACCGCATATTCATGGTGACCTCACCGAACAAGTGCCAACAGCGAGCTTGCCAACCTCAGGATCATTTGAAAACAGGGTGGCGGCTATCAATCGTTTGTGGCTGCAGGGAAGTCAGTACTGCTTCACGCACGGGCGACACTGTCACACCAAGACCCCCTCCGACATTGACTTCTCTGGTCTTCCGTGCGAAGAGAACAGCCGCGCCAACATCAATAGGAAGTTTATGGAGGGGCGGTTTGGCAACCTGTATGCTGTGTGGGCACGCCGGCACCAGGAATTAAAGACACCGCTGGTCATACTTGAAAACACGCCTGCCCCTTGTCTCACACACCCCAATTTGAGGGCAATATTATTTGTTGATCGCGTCAATCCTTTTTAACACAATCAATACTGCAGTGAAAATGCGTTCCTTTGCGTTATCATCTAGCTTGATTTTTAATTGCTAGCCATCAGCAATTAACTTGAGCGACGCGTTGGTAATTTGTTATTATAATTTCTATAGTTACTTAGTTGAAGCGTTGATTCAATTGACAATAATTGATACATCTTCGGATAGCGGCCGTGTTTGCTGGGTCGGCTTCTTCTTTTGACTTTGGATGAACAGCCCCCCCCCCCAACACTTCTGATTGTTCACTCGTCTATTTATTAAATAGTTACGACTAACTACCGTTTGTTTGACTCTGACCTTGTTTTGCACGACTGCTTGAGGATATCCCCTTCGACGCCATTCAGAAGCTGTTCCCAGATCACCAGGCGCTCCAAGTCTTTCTGACACCGGCGGATGTTGGCCATGCCGGTATGCGACGTGCCCGCACCTTCATCTACTTGCGACACCGTGAACGATGCCAATACTTGTGGGATATCTACGATACCTTGGCGGCAGTTACACGCGTGATCAGCAAAACTGTGAAAACCAAGCCGAGCGACTACCTCATTTCCAGCCCGCAGACCAGGTCTCTAGAAGCCGCAATCTTCTCGAGGAAGCGCAAAATGGAATTCAAGCCAGACACTCGACAAAAGCTCGTTTCTTTTTGCCATAGACTCTGTAGTAAGACACACTTGACGCAGGAGCACTAACTAGTCAGCCGCAGTGAATTTTTGAGGTGCTTGTTTGAGGTATGCGCCTTGAAACAAACTTCACGGGGGCAGCTTGCGACTTACTTCCCAACCCACTCTGACTCTAACTAAGGCGGAGACCAACATGTGGTACCTCCTGAACGATCGAGAAAAACAGGTGGTTCGCCAGCTGGACAGTCACTACCACCACAAGTTTGACCAACCGGCCCGCGAAGACCAAGAGCTTTTCTACTTTCTGGGAGACCGCTACGAATTTTCGCGTACCTGGTCTGCAGTCCGACCTCAAGCGCTTCCGACCTATCGAAAAAACGCCGGCAAGTACTTGCACCGGCAGTCGATGACCTTTTTAACATCCCAAGAGAAGTTAGCATCATTGGGGTGGCCAGTCACAGCTGAAACTGCAAGTGAAGCTGGGACAACTCCCCTACCATCCCTAGACGCCCTTAGGAGCGACATGATGGCGGGGAACTCGATGCACTTGTCTTGTGCAGGAGTCATCCTTTTTTGTGGGATGTGCTGTTTCGGGGTAACCCCTGGCACATCACAATAGCACGGCACCGCGGGCGATTTTGCAGCAGTTAATTATACCACCTCAGACTCAGACATGACAATCAACCAAATTTTACTAAGATGACTGTTCTTGAATTTCCGATTTCAAACTGCTGCAGACAGCCTGACAGACGGTCGTGCGAGTCCTGGACCAGACTGACCAGCGTCTAGTAGGCCCTCGACTCGCAGTGATGTCATGAAGCAATTCAATGAGAACAGGAAAATGAACTTGAGGGCAAGCGCAGGTTATTTCCCCCATTTTGAATTGGCCACTTCGAGAAAATTATTTGGGGCCATCAGCCACGGGTACGGTTCTAAATGAGTCTATCTGATATCAGAGCGCAAACCACCTGGACTGCATGTGCCTGTGACATTGCCTGACCTTGCTTGATTGAAGTTGTTCGTCTTATGTCCTTAGCACTTGAAACTGTTCAACTGTTCTCTGCAATAATAAGTGTATTTGGATAGCTTCCCCCGACACCGGGGCACAAAGACTAACCTGCACGCAAACGCAGACACACACACACACACACACACACACACACGCACAGCAAGGACAAACATGTCACGCAGACACAGCCACAGACACAGCCACACACACACACACACAGAGTGCACGCACGCCAGCAAGCACGCACGCACACTGACACTCGCTCGCACGCACACACGCTCACACACGCTCGCACACGCGCGCACGCCCGCACACCCATGCAGCCCTTGCGCACCCACACATGACTTAGGTGTGGCTTGAACGCGTGGCTCAAAACCAGTTTTCCACAAAGCATTTTTTCTTGCCTCTTTGACTGTGTTCTTATAGTCATGGCCGGACGCTTTGCCACGCCGACGCGGCCGAGCCGCCGGCCGCAAGAGCGCAGCACGCCTCTTCGTCGTCATCATGGAGACGAGCCATACCAGCGGTTCGCTGCTTTGCTCCAGGGCTTGCCAGTGCGAGGGCTCCCAGCCCCAAGCAGCGACGATGAATCAATGGACTCACGTCTTCTGTCGAGTTATCCCTTCAGCCCAAGCCCAGCCTCAGAAGACCCCCGAGCACGTGCTCGTCACACCGAGCACCGGGTTTCTGTGGCCAGCACTCACAGCGACATCATCTTCCGCAACCCGAACGGCGAGTCCGTCACCGGGCTGACACCGATGACAACCAGTTCCGAGGCGGACTATTATGACACTCCAGAGAGACCATCCCGCCGCCCCAGCTCAACCCGAACCCCGCATTCGAAGAAGCCTGCCACTCCAAAGAAGAAGCCATCTCGTAGCACAGGCCGGGTGACAACAAGATCTAAGAAGCCAGCCGCCAGTGCCAGCCCGTGCATGAAGAAGCCCGCCAAGCGTTCGCTGAAGAAGCCGGCGAAACGCAAAGTGTAGACTCTTAGATGTAGCCACTGCCTGGGTGTTGTGATTTTATCCATCAATCATTCATTCACTGTTGAAATGTTTGATTCACTCACTGAAACAATACAATTGTTGCTCCGGGCTGCCTTGGCTTAAACTATGAGCTGAGCTTACAACTGTACTTACTGAGTTACTGGTACGTGAGCGCCAAAACAGAAGCCCGCTCCTCGTCGTCGACATTACAATTGCAGCAATGGCTTTGCAACTGACTGACTGAATGACCATTTGAACCCTTAGACTTCACGCGCAAGCTTCGTCGTTGTTCTTTGACTGCAACATTGTCCAATTGTAACATGACTCAATTGTCGCCGCCAGATTCTCGGCTTTGTTTGCAGTGCAGTGCTGCTCGTGTGAGATTTGAGATGGCTTCCTCTGCCCCTCGTGCGCCTGGCAGAGTTCAATTTGCTACGTCAGTGGCATTGCCGAAGGCAAGTACCACTGCCAGCGCGCTTCGCTCGAACCCCGGCGCAAGCAGCCAGGGAATTCTGACCCTCGGACAACAACGAAATACAGAACAGAGAGACGTTGTGTTTATTTATTTGTCAGTCTGACAAGTGAGAAATCAGAAAACGGTTGACTCATTTAATGACTTCTCAAATTAGGAAGGAACAATTTACTACCTTCTTATCAAAAGGATTGTTTGATCAGGGGTCTGTGCTAGCCAAGTAAGGTGGCCGGGTGGCATCATGGTGGGCGGGGAGCCTATTGCTGTCACCGCCCCGGAGCCAGCCTGGATTTCGCCGCGGCAGGCTTCGGCGAAGATGCAGCCAAAGACCAAGGCGAAGGCGGCAGGCCAGCCTGGCACCGGCAGCAACCGAGGGCGAGGAGTGAACGTTGCTGCTGATCGCTACTCGAGGTCCTACACCAGCATCGCCACGCTTCCAGCGGCTTGTCGATTTTCGTTGCTAGTCAAACCCAACAAACTTGCTCTTCACTGATAGGGCCAACAATGGAAGAATTAGACTCACTTCAAACTTTAGCGAAAGGGCCTTCCTGGATTCCTGGTCAACTTGTTCATTCTGTTTACCACAACTGAGTGGGATCACTTTTTTGTTCTGCAATGATGATTCACTGAATGATCACTTGAATCACAATTATTATAATAAGAAACGGCCAGGGGAGTAGTCTTAGTAGTTTTCGGACATGCTCTCATTTGCAAGACAAGAGCTTGTTAGTTTCAGTTTCGAAACTTGCTTCTCAGCGCACCCGATGCGTCAAGGTCCTAAGTTGTGCTTTGAAAGCAAAACAAACTCAGGCTGGCCACTTGGAAGAGTGGCTCAACGCAATGTGCCCGGAGGTTTGCACGCTGATCATGTTGCAGAGGATCGGAGGACACATCGATACGTTGTTGTCCTACCTATACTTGGGCACTGGCCTGGTTCCTGGAGACAGACTGCCTTCGCATCTTGCCTATACTATACAGTTCAAACTTTGATTTGTCTATGGATTCAACTTTGAGTGGCAGTGTGATCTCAGAAGAGCCGACACACACCGACACCTCCACATCAAACTATGACATGTGTTTGCATCGACCTGAGGTTTGACAAGCAGCAGTGCCTCGAATCCATCAAAGCGGAGCACAAGCGGCTTGGCGAGCCGATCTTGAAGTTTCGCAACATGAGCTTCAGCAGTGTCAGAGCAAAGGCGGTGGAGCTCTTGGCAAACCCTGACCGCTTTCAGCAGGAGGCCTGGGCCCAGTAGCCTGTGTTCAAACAACAAGATTGCCGGTCATTGGCCACTTCACCTCATTGATTCCAGTGACTGACAAATATGAAGTTGTTGGGTGAACAGCCGAAGTACTACCAAATCATAGGATGAACTAGCAATGTTACAAAAGCTACTACCAGGGTTACCACTTCCAAAATTGCGAGGTTTGTGAACTCACTGAAGTCCTACTTAGTTAAGTTGGTTGGGTGGGCTGCGAGTGTCTCACCGAAGATGCTGCTCCACTACTACGGCTCAGGTTCAATGAGTAGTATTCTTATTATTGAGTTGGACGAACGAAAGTAAGTTGAAGCACGAACAAAGTTAGATTTGATTCTAGTCGCGTAGCCCTTTTCAAATTTCCCTCTGACCTGCCAATGTCACAACCACAATCTCAGTCAACAGGTGGCTCAAATTCAAATGCATCAACAATCACATTCCCAGACCGATTGAAATTGGCCCACTCGACCTGTCATCTTCTAGTCGCCTTTAATCGCTGCCTAGCCCCTATCAGATTGTTGGTTCTGCTGCGGCGCCTCCTGACGATGTCGACGCTCAAGACTACTTGAATGCCATCACCAATTTCACAGCGTCACTCAGCGATGACAATGCTTGGGAGCTGCATGGCTGGACAGCTGATGGCCAGCTTGTGGCTAGCGCGTTGCTGCCTGAGCTTCCAGTCGACCCCAAGCCCAACCGCGTGGCCTTCTGGCAGGTGACCTTCATCAACGGCGTGCAGTGTGCCTACGTGGCAGATGCGGACTACGTGGTTGAGTGCCACTCCTACATGAAGCAGCTTGTTGCCCAGCAGCCGGACGAGCCCATGCAGCAACTTGTGCCGCTACAGGACGATCAGGTCTCTTTGTCCAGCACGATTTCGACCCTGCCACGTGCAACTAGCGCTGCTCCCAAGCATCTCCCCGGCATGCGCAGGCCTGCGTTGAGAGTGCCCGGTGGCCGCTTGAACCAGTCTTCAGTCTTTTGCATTTTTCTGTTTGAAACCTATTTCTTTGGCTGTCTGAATTTGCTCATCTATTGTTTTTTGTTTTCTAGGTCAGATTGAAGAGCCAGCGCCCACGGCCCTACCCTCCAGCCTCCCATCCACTGGCACGGATGCGGCCCGCAATGATGACGAAGAGGCATTGCCTGGGCAAAGTTGGACCGAGGTTGGGGCTGGGTGTCAGTCCATGCAGCAAGGCGTTATAGGGATGCGCATTGCCAACCAAATTGCGATTGGTCCATTGATGACTCATTGAGTTGGAATTCTGACTTTGAACAAAAAATGCAGTTGTTCTTTTGATTTTTTGTTGCACCCAACTCCTTGCAGGGCGATTTCTCGGACTTTGAGACGGAAAAGGAAGCGCCGCGAGTGGTGATTTCGGAAGGCGTGAGCTTGCTGCAGCATGAAGGCATGGAGATAGAGCTTCCTGCTGGCACATGGAAAGTCTACAAGGACAGTGCCAACAATGAGTGGACGGTGGCCGACAGCGAAGATCGCCGGACGAAGGTCGTCAAGACTCTTCTTCGCTTGAAGCGAGCCAGGAGGACAAGTGTGTTTGTTTGCAAAGATTTCAATCAAACAACAAAGTGGACAGACATGAATTGTTTCCCCAAAAGCCGCTTGAAAGACAATGTTAGCAGGTTCCCCAGATGCTCTCTAAAGGCTGCCCGTTCCAAGCAATCAGCATTGTTGACTTGAGCTCTGGAAAGGCTTCTCAAATGTCTAACTGCTGCTCAAACGTGCTCAAATACTCCAAAACACAACCGAATTTGAAGATTTTGCTCAAATGTGCTCAAATGCTGCTCAAATGTGCTCAAATGCTGCTCAAATGTGCTCAAATACTCCAAAACACAACCTAATTTGAAGATTTTGCTCAAATGTGCTCAAAT